AAATAACAAGACCAAAACTATACCCATTTAGACTTACATATGTGGAAAGGTATTTTCTCACCATTTTTATTTATTTGCAAAATCTCATTAATGTGCAAATTTTTATTTTTAAATATCAACGCATCTTAATTAAAGTTGGAATGACACTCGTTATACTTTGAATTAAATTATGCAAAAATACAAAAAGAGTGATAAAATATCTTTCCAATGGTACCTTACGAGTCTAAATCGGTGAAGTCTTGACTTAGTTATTCAAGTTTTTCTTAAACCAATTTCCGAAAAAAATTCAAAAGGAGCATCAAAATCAAAAATCTTAGGATTATTTTTTTTTAAGTTCAATGAATGTTTTTTAGTTAAAACTATTTTGTCATCTGAGGTGATTTTTTTTTTCAAAAAATACTTCAAAAAGCTATTTCTATTCATAAAAACTCAAGGAGGAAGTATTTTCAAGGTGGTATTTGGAGCAAGTCTTAAAATATAATAGATTTTAAAATTCCAATGGAAAAACAGTAGTGGAGTGATCCAATCTAATGTAAATATGTATACAAGTATACTTACATACATACGATCCAGTTTCTCCAAAACCTTTGAAATTGAGGAAATATATTGCTTTGAACAAACAAATTGTACTTCGGGAAGATTTTATTCTTTCACGTCACAAGAGCTTCTAAACACTTATTTCTAATAAACGAGAACAAATTTATAAGATTCCTACAGCTTTCAATTCATTTTTTATTTGATTAAAATGACTGATTTTCGTTTTAAAATCTGTTGTTTGAAATTATTGCAAAGGCAGTTGAAAAATATTTTTTTTATAGCTGGTAGTTTGATTTTGATAGAGATGTCATAATGGCAGGAAAAGTCAAATGGCTAACATGGCGGCCGAAAACCTTCTTTTTTGTATCATGGGAGAGAGTACAACTCCACAACAAGCTTTTCAGGCGTTCAGTGCTTTTTAAGGGCGGTCAACATAGAACTTTCGCGTTGGCTTTGGGGTTGGCGTTAGTTTGACAGAACGCACGTTAAAAGTATGCTTGCTACAATGAGCGCTTGGCAGCGAATGCTTGGGCCACTAAATTAACATACTCATTACAGATAAATCTATGTTTCATATCAATAATTGCATTAAAAACGATATTTCTTGCCCGCACTTGACTAAAAAAGAAAAATATTTCACATAATTTTATATATTTGCAACAGCTGACAAGCGACGCACGCAAAAAGTTGAGAGTTGGCCACCTTTTTGCTTTGTGTTGGCGAGAGCGTTGTCGAATTTTGGCTATGTGGACGGCTGCATTTGAACTCATGTATTCATAGTCAGCTGTTGAAGCGACGCCAACGCCAACAGAACGCCAGAGTTCTATGTGGACGGGCCTTTAGGCTTTCAGCAATAGTTGAATTGTGCACACGGTTGCCACTTTGGTAAATTGGTAGAAAAAATTTGGGTTGGTGAAGAGATAATTTTTTTATATTTTGGTAGATTTTTCGAAGTATTTGGTTTGAAAAATTTGGGTTCCCGCTTTATTTTTCGCAGCTATCTTTATATTATAAATTTCTTTCCAAAAGTGTCTACTTTATTGCATTAAGTTTCGAAAGTTTGTGGTACACTTTTTATATATACACACTAGGGATGTCAATATTTTAGATTCTTGCGATCCCAAGATTTTCAGTATGTCGTTGGTTCAATTCGGGGATCCCGGGATCAGTCCCGGGATTTAGATATTTATTATTTTTCGATGAATTAACATTAAAAATTGCATCAATGTGGTTTGAGAAGCTCTCCTACCATATAATAAATAAGTAAATGGGTTTGCAACGTACTTTTTTATTTAAAGTGAAAATTATTTCATAAGTAACAAAACGACAGACAGTAATTTAATTTATATGCATTTAATAATACTTTAGTACATACATATCTGATAAAATAATTTAAGGAATGTCGAAAAAAGCTCGATGCAAAAATATTAAGTCAAAAAAATTATTTTCTGGTTGAAAGAAGACCATAATTTTAGTGGGAGAAATAAAAGAAGCGCCATAATTCGAACAGTTTTGTCTATATTCCTTTTCTTTATCCAAAATTTACATTGTTTTTATAAAAGTCTACCTCATATTACACCTAATTTACTGCAAATATTTATAAATGGGCATTTCTCTGACGTCATGATTTTTTTAAAAAGTCTTTATCGAGCCCTAACCGCCAAAATAACGTAAGCGACATTTTTTCAAAATTTTCTTTTTGATGTAGAAATATTCCTAAAACATCTAGATGCATTTCTGCATCAAAATGAAAGTTTTGAAAAAATTTCGCTTACGTTATTTTGGCGGGTTATAATTTCAAAGATATGGTTGATTCTAAAACTTATTTTAAAAAATTCAGTGCGATGTAAAACAAAAGTATGGGTACCAAATGAAATAATTTTTTTGGGTTCACAAGGACGAATAAGATTTGAAAATGCCCCTTTAATCTATTTTATATTTTTAAGCTAATAAAGTTGGTCCTTAACATATGATTTTTTCAAAAATACGAATTGAGAAATTTCAAGTTTATTCAAGGATAAAATTACAAAAGGGTATTTTCAATATCTTCCCATCCCTTACGGACCAAAAGATGTAATGTGTTTTAACTCTACAGAATCTTCTCTTTAATTTGATACCCATACTGGTTTCTTAAGTATATTGCACTGAAATTTTTAGATCAGTTTTTTGAATTACTCATATCTTTCAAATTTCAAAGTTCTTTTTAAAAATCCTGACGCCAGAGAGAAAAATTAAGAACGCAATTTTACTATATTTGGCCCTTGGTTTGGCGAATATATTGGCCCGTAGTCATAGTCAAAATAAAGTCGACTTTAAAGTTTGTTGCAGCTTTTTGACATAATTTTCAATGGGATATCTGTCAAAAAAGCTGCAACTAACTTTAAAGTCGACTTTATTTTGACTATGACTACGGGCCATTGATTTTTTTTGTGTGCAAAATTGCAAACGAACAAAACAAAAGAAATATAGCCAAAACTGGTCAACATAAAACGTTTGTATTATTGCCACCAGTGTAAATTACATATCCCGAGAATCCTGGGATTCTAAGCAAATAAATAATTAAAAAAGACCGGGATACCGGGATCTCGGGATTAACATTCCTAATACACACAATTATGCACAGCGATAAAAAGCGAACATTTCGTGCTACTTTCAAGCTTTATTTTACTGGAATCGTGAGGAGCTTTTGATTGCCTAAATATTTTAAAGGATTGTTTAAATAAGAAGAAAAAATGGACAATACACTACGATTGTTCGCAAAAAAAAATTAAAGAAGCCAACGCCAGTTTTTATAAATGAAAATTATTAAATGCCAAAAAAAAAAACAAAATGACTGGCGGCAAACAAATTTTTAAAAACTTTCGGAAAATATTAGCTAGACATTATTACTAAAACTAATCTTCCATGGGCTATACAACGCCATACCAAAAAATTTCTAAAAATTCCGAATAAAAATTTCAAAATTTAGACGACATTTTTTCAATTTTTCCAAATGTTGTATATATTTAGCTTGAATCCTCAATTTTTAAGGGTTGGGTTAAAGCGCAACTATATTCTTATAAAAAAAAATAAAAAGTTCCTTAATAAAAAATTTTTATTTTTATTGAAATCACTAAAAAATAGAACAAATGGTATGTATTTTCCAGATTTGGTAGATTTTTTTCAAGTGATTGTTTAGCTCAAAGCCTGAAAAGCGCAAAACTCCTGAAAACTTTGTTGTAGAGTTGTACTCAGATATTTTTTTCGTTGCCAATAAGAGTGCTTTCTCTTTTGCCCAAATACGTTTTGTGATTGGATGAAAAGAGAAGGTACGCTCCTGATGTTCACACTCGCTACAATTATAACGTGTTGTCTCCTCTTATAGATTTACGTTCTTTGGTTAATACAAATATTTTTTAAAAGTATGAATATTTTTAAAGAAAATTGTTTGTACATCACTATCACATAAGTGATTTATGTCATTAATTATTACCCTGAAGGCATTACATTCGTTTTTGGTTTTAAAAACTATGGGTACTGTTTATGAATTTGTACAACGATTTTGGGTTGCTGTGCCCAAACGCGTGAATCGAATCAAAAAACTTTTACACACACTTGTAGACAACAGTTCACGCTTTATTAAAAAAATTTAATTTACTAAATCTGTGCACTAATTTAACAATAATGTCGGCTGGAAATATCGTATTTGTTGCAAATTTTTGTTATAAATTTGTTTATACATTTTTATGTACAAGATATTTTTATAAAACACCCAGTAACCAGACTAGACATCACTGGGGCGGCAGCCCCAAGTTTACCACACAGAAAGGGAATTCTAGTTACCTCATCCTTTCCCAAGGAAACATCACTGGGGCGGTAGCCCCAGTTATGTCACACAGAAAGGAGAATTCTCCGTAGTAAGGGTTATAATCCCTAAGCGCGGCCGAAGGCCGCCTACGCAGAAAGGTGTTCTCTGCAAAAGGTGTTCAGGCCCCCTTCTTCGGACGCAAGTTTAACTTTGTTTTTTCTTGCAAAAAATCTAAAATTCCCCTATTTTCAAACAGCTCCCCAGTGGTCTGTGGGAGGGGGAACTTTTCATAAAGCGGCGTCAATCCTCTTTCGTTTAGGGGGGCTTTGTGGGGCCCACACCCCTCCCCCTCCGCCCCCACCCCTAAATCGTTGTACAAATAGCTAAAAATTTCCCAAAACTATGTTATATGTAATTTTTAAAATAAAATATTTTTTAAGCTAATTTCATGAATCTTATAAAAAAAAACTTTGGGTGATTTTTGGCGTTTTTTTTCAGAAATGGCGATTTTTTTTAACAATCTGGATACCCTGATTTGTTATTTTTTGTTTTTGTTCAATAGGGCTGACAATTTCAAAGATCGCGCCAAACTTAACAGCTGCATATGAGAAAAAAACATTCAGCACATTCTCTATTGTGAACAGGAAAAAAATTCACAGAGAACGTACGTTCTCTGACATTCAGCTATATTCATGTGTGAAAGATTTGTTGAAAATCGAAATTTGATCGAACAGAAGAATTTGCAAGGATAATTTTGCTTGCCGCTCTGCTGAAGAACAACTTCTGAGGGAAGAAGACGTTGAGAAGCCGATCATTCTCCATTTGAATTCTGTTGGGCCAGGATGTCGTTCTTCGATGTGTTAGAATTGCGTGAGTACTGCCGCGCGGCTATGATGATGTCGTCGGTGTTGTGTGTTAAAAATTTTACAGTTGCAGAGGCTTCGAATAGTCAAAATTACTTCGTAAAGGATAAAATGGCATACACCGAGGATAACGTATTGATATACAATATTTTTGTATACAGCATTCCAAAGAAGGTATAGCAGCGCACTCATACGAACTGGAAGATCACTGACACATTTTTTTATTTAGTTTAACGAAGATGACGTACGCTGCTATTTCTCCAAGTTTGGCAAGGTTTCTAATGTGCGATTGGTTCCTGACAGAAAGCGATCCCGTCGCGCTGCACCCAAAGTCGGATTTGTAAACTTTGCCGAACCGGCTGGTGCATTCAGGTAAAACGTCATTCATGTACGAAGTTATGATATAATTTTGGTAAAACTTAGTGCTTTGCGGAAAGGCAATCATCGTTTACAAGGGTCTCGCATTGGAGTTAAAGCCGGCGACAGCTGGAATCAGCCAGACGCCGAAAAGGCATGTAGCCAAAAACCAAATGAGACTGATGCGGCTTCTACTTCAGCCGAGAGCAAACAAAAAAATAAAAGCGAGGAGGTAAAACCTGCCGCCACTCCGACATACCACGCTGCGTCCGTTGAAGGCTTGAATGTACTTGCGCTCAATGACGACTGCCTGGAAATGATCTGTCGGCTTTTAGAGCTGCGTGACCAAGTACGTTTTGCGCGTGTATGTCAGCGTTTCCAAGATGTATTCAAAATGTTCTGCAAACACGAATTCAAAAACTTCGATCTTTACAAGATGTCTGGAATGACTTTATGGGAGATACGCGACTTCTTTCGATTCGCGGGTGAAAATATAGAACACGTGGCTGGAAATATACCGTTTAAAAATCGTGAACGTATCATTGAATTTATAAGAATATTCTGCAGTAATTTGAAACGCATCTCATTGGATGATAGCAAAATGCGACCAGAATGTCTGAAGAAGCTACTACGCAATTTTCCTCTACTAAAGGATTTAAATTTACATGATTGCTCTCTTAACGATAGTTCAGTACAGACGCTGCACCATTTAGATAAATTAGAGTCATTGGCGCTCTCCGAAAACTATGAGTTAACAGGTAAGGCAAAGGCAGCTGCCGTTGAATGGAAAATTTACCCTTAAAATATTAATGCGTGTGTAAATGCTTTGTTTGTGCTCGCTCACAGGTAAATTCATAAGCGGATTGGTGCAACTAAAGGCTCTAAACCTGTATGGCTGTAGCAATATTCAAACTACGAATTTGATTGAAATTTGCAAGGCGATGCAAAATTTAAAAACTTTGGATATACGCCGCTGTGAACGGCTATCGATAGCATTTTTCGACGCCATGCCTGAACATTGTCAACAGCTCGAGGTATTGAAAATGTCATGCCCTGATTTTTCATATGAAAAGGTAGCATCGTTGCCACGATTGAAGCAACTTGAATTGTTGCGCCACTCCTCAGGTTTTATATCAAATACAAGATTATTTGTCGAACTGGTCGCACAGAAGGCCGATCAATTGGAGACTTTAAAAATTGTTGCCAAAAATTCGCTCACTGCCGAGCACGTCAATCTGATATCGGATTTGAAGAAACTGAAAACTCTTTTTTGCGCTAATAATCAGGCGGTCGACGATGATGCGCTTCGAAAATTTTGTAAATTAGATCAACTCGAAGAGTTGACTATTAAAAGCTGTGGTGATATAACAAATGAGGGACTGCTTAGACTGTTGCGCTGCTGCAGGCACTTGCGTCACATTAACATACAGTTCTGCAAAAAAATAACATTGGAATTCATTTCTAAGGCCATAACTATTTTAAAAGACCGTACTGATAGACCAAAAGCGCCATTGATCATTTTGGTATATGGAACATCTATAGATAATTATGGACTTTCGGCAGTGCGTTACAAAAATATTTGACAATTGGTATCAGTAATAATGTGCTCTTTTTTCCTTTTATTTATGCAGTGCCAGGAATATAAGGCTGCTGAGAAAGAGTCGCTTATGAAAGTAGTTTTCCATGCGCTAAATATTGATTTGGGCCTTGACGATGGCGTTGATATTTACGATATCTGGGATGGTGATGGCTGGTTAGATGACGACGACGACGACGACGACGATTATGACCCCACCGATGAGGATGATGATTTCTACTTTCCCGATTCGGACATGGATGATGATGACATCAATTTCGCTTACAACATGTTCGGACAAATTTACCCACATGGCTTTGGTTAGTTTTTAATGAAAATAAATTTATAACAAATTGTAAATTTCATTTCAATTCACACTTTCCATTTACACCTTACAGATATTGATGATGTCATTTGGTGAGTTGTTGCCTAGACATCGGGGGAGTATTTCAGTGAATTTTTTGTTGCTGTAAACCACATGTAACCATATACTACGTGGAAAAACACACACAATTTATTTATGTTTAGTCTTCAAGCACTTTTGCTAATTTTTTTTTTATTATTTGAAATAAATTTGAGATTTTAAATTGTTAAATAAGATAAATGTTTCAGAAATATTCCCAAGGACTTAAAAGCATTAACCCTAAAAAAAGAGAATTGTTAAAGTATTTTACTTAAGTATTTATAAAAATTCCTCAAATTTACATTCGTACGAATAATCGAAAAAAATTCACTAATTAAATTATGCAAGTTGATACTTAAGTTGTCAGCTTTCGCTTTTGAAATATGCAGTTGCTTGAAGCAACGTGTATGTTAATGCGAAATGAAGCTTGAACAAAACCTTTTTAATTTTTTAAGTTTAATTTTCTATTACCTATTAATCTCGAATTTCCGATAAGAAATAAACAAAAAAATACTTTACGAGTTTTTTTTTAATAATTTTATTTAAAATTATCACTATTTGCTTCGCAGTTCTGACAATTTATTGTGTTAATAACAATCTTGGGTAGCGCGTTGGACAATTTCTTACATATTTATAAATTAATTAAAACTTCAATTAACGCCTTGCAAGAATTTCGACAAGAAATCGGTTGGTTTGGGATCTTGGCTCTCCTTCCAGTAACGCATTATGTGACCCTTTTGCTTCCAGATTTCGACTGTCTCCTTCAGCTCCATTTGACCCTGGAAGAGAAGTTTTTCTTTATTTTTTACGCATTTTAATTTAAAACATTAAAAAAAAAAAAGAAAATGAGAAAAAACTCCACCTCGCTGCGGACAGGATTCGAACCTGTGCGGGTAGAACCCAATGGATTTCAAGTCCATCTCCTTAACCACTCGGACACCGCAGCCACACGCCCAGCGATTGATAAATGATATACTCATTATGAATGCGAAGAGAGCACTCTTGCTCAACTAAAAAGAGCGCATGGACAAAAGCATTGCCAATGAGAAAAAATTGCATTCTATTTTTGGATACATTTTGTTTACAAAATGGCAATAGCAATATAAGAGTTGTCGCTATACAAAGTTTGGCGTCTCCATATTGGATTGTATTGTATTCGGCACTAAATTTTTAAAAACAACAAAAAAATTTTATTTCACTAAGCAGGTTTCTCCATCCATATTTTGAAATAACATTTTTTGTTATTAAGGTGGCCGCCATGGCCGAGTGGTTAGGGGTGCGCACTGTCAGTCGGTAGGTTTAGGGTTCGATCCCAGGTCCAAGCATTATGCATTTTTTTTTAATAGAGGTAGCCCCTCGACTGGCAAAATAAAACCTCCAAGTGAATTTCTGCCATAAAAACATTCTCTTTAAAAGCATTTGCCCTTTGTGTGACATCAAGTCACACGCCACAAATCGGAGGCTCGGAAATGCACTAGGAAAATTTTAAGCCTGGATACATGTTTTTATTTTCAATCGTGAAAATCCGCGAGCTCCTTGTTTAGAGGTTTTTGTTGTTGTGGTAACAGCATACAAATCATGTACTGCTGGAGAGACACGTCTTGTGCCAGAATGCGTTACGAGGTGTTTGTTTCTCCGCACTAGTCGATAATAATCGAATACATACTTCTGACTCTGGTCAACGCACTATGCAAGGGCTGGCCTTAAATTAACTGCGCCTTCGGACGGCGCGGATTTCGTTCATAATATTAATAAATATTTGCAATCTTTTCGCGCTTGAAGAAATGATAATTTTAGACCAATGTTCGCTTACCTTTATCACTAGGATATCAATGACACGCACATCCGTCACGTTGCGATGTTTCTCAAATTCTTCCCGCAGTTTAGCGCGGCATTGTTGTACCGACTTTGGGATGTCATAATCCATAACTGCAAAGAAAAATCTTAGTAGTTGTAATAAAATTATGCATCTGCAGTATTCACTACGGCATTTGCCATGGCACGAACTATCAAATCTCATAAATGTGACGGCGAATTTTCAATTTGTTTACGTCTTTGGCCACAAGCGTTCTGGTTCCAACTTGCTCACATCGGACGATGACATAATAGAGATTCATGCACTTACCAATGTAGGGAATTTGCCGATACCAAGCTTTGTACAGATTGAGCGCACGTTTGCGCGCCTCATCCCGATCCACCGACAAGATGGGACGCACTTGCTGTACAGCTTTTCTTACGGCTTCACGTCCGGCCATGACTCTGCTTTTGGCTAGGTTTTGTAAATACAAGAAAAATTTTGTTCAAATGTGAGAAAAATTTGTAAATGGGGCAAATTGAAGTTGACAAACAGCTGATTGCCAAAGCAGTCTTCAAGATGTTGCCATCGGCCAACAATGTGGTTAACCGGGTTTTCGCCTACAGGTACTCTTAAAGTGATGAAATGTTATCGGATTGTATCGATTGTTGTAAAATTTACAGAAGCCACAATAAAAGTAATGAAAACAAGATTAAACACATTTGTAAAATTAATTAAAACTAAGAAAACATTTCTAAATGCAAAATGTAAAAAATTATTTAAATATTCAGTTTCTATTTGTTTTCAAATGTCAATTTCAATATAGATCGATAATTACACAATGCAACACTCAAAAAGTGATGGGAATATGGCCAATTGCATTCACTAAAACACGTCAAAATATGAATACATACCAAAGCAATTGTAAAAGTTGGTTCCCATT